AATCTCCTTCCACTTCATCTATTATGAACACACCCCAGTGAATGCTTGGCTCAGACCACCATTTAAAAAGGGAAACCACTGCTTTTGCAAATGCTAGTTGGCCATTATGTTATTCCAAAGGCTGCAACACATTGTGAGGCACTGACCCAGAAGAAGCATGCAAATGACGAGTTCTGACTTTCCTCTGATCAGACTAGGGGCATGCTTGCTCCAGTTTAGTGGCTCAGAAACTACCAAGGCAAAAGACAGCCAAGTAATACGCATTATCAAATGAGGTCAGTAATGGCAGCCTCCATAGTTATAAGTAGATGTGATCATGTCTTTCTTTTATAAACATGGCAAGAATTAGATTTTTTTTTGCAACCAGTCCCAGCGCAGGTTCTTACTACGAATATTCACTGCGAATACCACAGAAAACCATATACAGATATTAATACTAAAGCTGAATCTCCTAGACCCGAATGGCATTCGGGGTCCGAATGGCATTCGGGAGCTCTTGAATTCCATTTGGGAGCTCCCGAATGCCATTTGGGTCCGGGAGCCATATAAAGTATATACATATATTACTAAAGCTGAGGCTCCCAGACGCGAATGCTATTCGGGTCTAGGAGCCTCAGCTTTAGAATTGTATTTATACTTGAAAACTGAATTGGACATGTGACTTTTCTGGCCAATCAGATGTTTTTCATTTGAATGCATCCGAACGGGTCTGAATACGAATGTTCGTGTTCAGACCCATACGGATTAATTAACTGAAAAACACATCTGATTGGCCAGAAAAGTCACATGTCCAATTCAGTTTAATTTTTAAACGAAATTCGGACGGGATCCAAAATTCGGAAGTGGAAATTCGGATTCTGACAAGTGGAAATTTGGATTCGGACACATTCGGATGCATTGGGATTCGGTAATTTCGATGCGTCTAAATGTTCGAATTTGGGAAAATTTGTCCGAATTTTGATTCGGAACTAAACAAATCGCACATGTCTAGTCACCAGCAAGCTCTCAACCCAGAGCAGCACCCACTTAGTCATTCTGTAGGCAACTATGTATATACAGTTTGACTTGTAGCTTTAGCATACCATGACCAACAGGTGAAAACCTACATTGGACTCATCACTGTCACCCTTTAGTCAGCACCTCAGATCAGTGAGATGTTTGGCCACCCATGCTGAAGGACACTCAACCCATTCCCAGCTATTCTGGTAAATGGACAGACCTACAAAGCACCAGCCATTGTCTCCTGATCCCACAAACATTGCAAAAATTTAACCATTGCCATTTTAATATGAGACAGATATGGAGTGCTGCAGCATTCCATGGCAGATACTTTTTCAGTACATGTTTCAAACAAGCTTCTGAGGATACATATGGGTTTCTCTTGCTACAGTTTGCATCCCCTACATCCCAAAAAGAGTTTAATAATTCTTCAAATATATGAAGTTTGATTTAATAGTGGAAACTACACATGATACAAGGTGTCAAAATGTTTCTAATTTTTTCAATTATTTCCCCCCCAATACATGGGAAGGAAAGTGTATCTAAATCCAAGAACAAAAATTTAATACATTGCAGTTTGCCGGTTCTCACATGTGGTAGCCGCATTTGTTTTATTTTTTCAGGCTTCTTTTCTTTTATTTTCACCTGGTGAGCCTGCCGGTAACACACTTCCTGCTCTAGTGTGACAACACTTCCTTTACTGTATCTATGGAGAAGCAGTGTTGGCACCCTAGGACAGGAAGTATTTAAAGACCACAGAATACCACCCCCTTCTCATCTCCAGAACATGGGGGTGTATTCTGTGGTTCACAGAGGTAACCAGACCAGCACTGATAATTGTGTTTGAGAGAACAAATAAGTGTGGACTTTCAACACGGTCCCTTGTTTGAGAATTGCTGGCCTTTTCTGCGGTGAAAAGGGTAGATCTCATAATCGGCTGCACAGACTGCTCTAGCTTGAGGCTTGGTTCACACCTAGGTGATTTGCCACGCGGTATCGCACAAAACACAGATTTGCATTGAAGTCAATGGAGGCTGTTCACACCTTTGCGGTTTGTCGGACAAAATCGTCTGCCGCGCAAAAAGATGCAGGAGCTATTTTCGGGCGGTTGTCGCACTGTTTGGGTCCCACAGACATATCTATGCATTGAAAGCCATGCAACAAAGCACAGTCGCGCAAACGTAAACATGCAAAAACAGTTCACCAGCTCAATCGCCTAGGTGTGAACCAAGCCTAAGACTTTTATGGCATCTGAGTTGAGAAAGTATAGTACATTTTCAGGAGAACCTCTTCTGAAGGAGGGAATTACTTAGCGCTTCTGCCTTGCAGCACTGGGGGTCCCCAGTTCGAATCCCTGCCAGGTCACTATCTGCAAGGAGTTTGCATGTTCTCCCTGTGCTTGTGTGGGTTTCTACGGATACTCCGGTTTCCTCCTTCACTCCAAAGACATGCAAGTAGGTTAATAGGCTCCTCTCTAAGTTGGCCCTCTATGCATGCATGTGAGATAGGGACCTTAGATTGTAAGCTCCTTGAGTGTAGGGACTGATGTGAATATGCAACTCTGTAAAGTGCTACTTAAATTGTCGGCGCTATATAAAATACCTGTAATAATAATAATAATAATTACTGATGTTGGATGAAAGAAGACCTGGCTCACAATGGGCATGCCAATGGTGTTCAGTAGGGTTGAAATCAAAGCTTTGTGCAGGGCATTAAAGTACCCTAAAAACCAGTTTTATGGACCTGGTTCTGTGCACAGTCATGCTGGAACAGAAAAGAGCCGTTGCCAAACTATACCAAAACTGTACCAAAAGGCTGGAAGCGCACAACTGTCTATCTATGATGTCTTTGTATGCTGTAGCATTAACAGTACCCTCCACTGGAAACACCTGAAATCAATCATTTGGAGGGCTATTCACATACTTTTGGCCATATAGACATCGTGGTGGTCAGGTGCCCACAAACTTTACTCCATCAAGTATAATTTGGACAGCTATACTAATTCCAACAAAGACCACTACACTACTAAGCAGGAAACCATTAGGTATCATGAAGCAAGCACAGTTCCTCCTATTCTGTGGTTTTTCATTGACATAAAAGATAAGTTTGATATTTTCGACAAAATGTAAATGCAGCAGTCTACCTGCCATTTCTCTGCCCCCTGGGTCTAGCTTTTCAGCTTCCCTTATATGGGGAGAGACAATGTCTACATATAGATTATCTCACTGTGCGTTATCTTCTCCATGTCACAGCACTAAACAGATGACAGCTGCATGAGATAACCTCTGACCCGGAAACATCTCTGCACTGAAAGCCTTAACCTTATGGGAGCAGCGTAAAGGCGCTATGTGCCCTGAATGCATCATCAAAGTCACTTTGAAGACACACAATTCTTCCCAGCAATAGCAGCAGCTAGTAATGCATTAAATAGAAATATATATAGAAATAAATATATTATAATCAGTTGTGATCAACCCCCTCCCCCCTAAAAAAAAGTGTTTAAAAATGTCCACCACACAAGGACATGTGTCACAGATAAGATCAGAATAGCAAAAATGATCCTGGAGTTCCACTTTAACCCCTTAACTGAAATATGCACATAGCATTTTTTCCTCTCTAATCTGTTCAACCACCCAGGCAAAGAGAAATACACAGTACCTCTGCGTATAGTGGAACGTGTGACAGCACTGGTGCTTGGCTCAGCACGTTCACACACTGGCAGGGAGCATTCTCAACCCTGTGTAACCTCTGACTTGTGAGGGACCTGAAGCTTACTCAGGTTTTCCATGACTCACTCCCATGCATGAACGTGGTAGCAGAAGAGCGAAGGACAGTATGTTCTTCTGGGGCGGGGGCCATTAAAGAAAACCTGGTGCTTGCACAAAGTACCCGTTAGCTTTAAAGCAGAAATGTAGCCAGGCGATAGACATTTAAACATTTGCATACTGACATCAAGCATGAAATGGGCTTTAAAATAGGCCCTGACTGATCTCTTCAGCTGCAGGTATTGTGGAGCAACCTATCCTCAAACCTTACAAGAAAAACATTGAAGTCGAATTTGAATCTTGGCACCCTGACCACTCCCCTTGTTCTATTCACCTCCTCTGTTTATTCATTAGAAATAAGAAAACTGCAGCCAAGTCAATACTGCAGAAAGCTGCCGAACATGAAAGTGAAATTGTTTTTGCAGTAGAATTGAGAATTAATTACTCCATGGTGCCTGCAGCTATGGAGGTCAGTGAGGGCTTATGAGTGAGCACAATTTCTGGAGCATGCAGAAATAAGCGCACAATTGATCTTGTAGGCGAGCATATTCGTGTTCATTGTACACTATACATTCTGATACTAAGAAGCACGGTTACATTGCAAAAGCTGGAATGCGTCAACTTCCAGCTAGTCATCACTGTCATTTGTCCAGCACCACCACTGATGCCACTAGCACATCAGTAGGGATGAGATCCTTTGACTACATCACCCAGTGTCCTAGCCACCAGGGTATAATACTGTAAGTGGGTGCAGGAGTAAGCGGGTGAACTTTCTGATTGGTAGATGGGTGGCATAGGGTGGTGATGCTGGCAAAATGGTGCACGTAAAGGTGATGAGACAGCCTCCTTGTGCTCTGTTACAGAACTGACCATTGATTATGATGTCACTATTTTTAAAATACAGAGACAGCCAGAGCTACTGACACGGGTCAGGGAAAACCAAACGTGCCACAAAAAGGAAACACATTAATACATAAGCCTTTGCAAAAACATCGGCAAAGATCATTTACAAGACTCAAAGTGTGATAATAGCTTACACTTTGCAGAATACATTTACAAACTCCATTTGTCTCTAACAGTTAAGATTTGGACTGTAAATATTTCCCCAGGCTTTCAAACATAATGTGTTGTCCATTTCCCGAATGATTAACTCTGCTGTGTGAACGAGCGCACTCAATACAGTAAATCATATAACACGATATTGAGCAGCCCCGCAAAGGGCAGCAATGCACTTACCAATCGATTCTCATCAAACACTTCAAACAGTAGCCTCTGATTAGTTGGAAGGACCTGCACAGGAAAACATCAAACACTTGTTAGAAGCCAAATAACATTTCAGTAAACCTTAAGTAAATATGACAGGTTCTCTTTCTAAAAATACAAGATACCTGGCTGTCATGCTCACCCGACCCTCCTGCTTCAACACTTTTTGTCACTGACACAGAAACTAGTATGCAGATAAGGAGTTCAGGCTCAAGTATATCTAAGGACACAAATGTCCCCATTGGGAAGCATTTTTTATCCTGGTGAAATCTGTTATCTCTATGTAGAAGCTGTGATCTCTCTGCAGAGGTCTGACATGCCCCTGCTGAGGCAGAGCTATAGATCTACAATCAGCGAAGCTAATGCTCTCTGCTGATTGGAGAGATCTAGCTCTGAGTAGAATGTAGAACAGATGTCCCAATTCCCTTGATGCCAAGCAACCTGCTGGAACCACCCAACTCCCCACTTCATCCAAATAACCAGACTACACCTTTGATGGAGTTAAATGGAGATAGCAGCCTTTTATTATACACATATTAAACATGACAGAACAATAAATTCAAGCATGAGGTTTCAAAGGTCTTTTGAAGGCCAAAATGATTAACAGATATGCTGTCTCTGTGGAAACCCTAAACTCTGTTAGGCTCCCAGCCACACCACACCGCCTTGGGGACAACCTGCACATTGACCGCAGACACATCCATATCTGAATTACCCGTTGGACCAGTATATATCACCATGACTTGAGGACCCATACCAAGACAGGTCCCCAAACATTAACCACCATCACCTCTTTGTTTCCGCCTTCAAAAGACCCCAAACCGCCCAACACTGCTATGACAGGCAACAGCCCCCAAACCCAAAATAATAGGGTGGGTGGATGGGAAGTTCTCTCCTCATCCGACGATCTCCGACTAAAGCCAGTGTGACCCTCCTCCTCAGACCACCACAAAGGCTCCGCCCGAACTTTGAACTTGACCAATTGGTAAGTCCTTATTTAACTCTTTGTTCCTTGTATCCCCTCTTCACAGTCATGCAAGCCCTCCCCCTATATTTTTTTTCTTTTGCTTCGGGCCTAACATTAGGGGAGATGTCATACCTTTGAAGAGAGACTACTGCTTCCTCACAGAGAGCAAAGGTCGCTCTCTGCAGCAGGCTGGCAGGGAACAGGCTTTTCTGCTCAGGCTGCTTTCTGAAAAAAACTAAAGCTGGCCATACACCTATGTGGATGGAGGAATCTCCCACTGGGCCAAGTTTCAGTATTTTGCTAGTTGGCCCCGCTGGCTGTTAAAATACCGGAACAATCTGATTGGATGCAGGCATTGTTCATGTATTTTGAGATCCAGCGGGGCCGACTTGCAAGATACTGAAGCTTGGCCCAGTGGGAGATTCCTCCATCCACACAGTTTAGCGTAGATGGAGGAATCTGTTGCACCTTTTCAATCTGACGATAGCAAATCTGTAGATAATTTAAAGGTGTATGGCCAGTTTAAAACTTTAAACACCTTTTGTTGTGATGCACCTGAAAGGTCTGTAGCTGATTTAATTTGAAAGTTCAAATAGATGTTAACACAGTCTTTCCTGATCTGAATGCTTGTTCTAGGATCTGTAACTCTGTATTGAAAACTAGAGGAGCAGCAGAAGGTGGTCAGAAATGGCAGGCCAGTATTTCTCTAACAGTACATGTACATCTAGCACAGAAAGCTCTAGGTGGAGCTCAACTAATACAATCTAACCAAGATTTACATCATATTTTCCACCATAATTTGCAAATAAATTCGTTCCAAATCAGCCAATGTGATTTGTCTGGATTTGTTTTTTCATTTTGTCTCTCATAGTTGAGGTCTACCTATAATGCCAATTACAGGCCTCTCTCGTCTTTTTAAGTGGGAGAACTTGCACAATTGGTGGCTGACTAAATACTTTTTTGCCCCACTGTACATATAATATAATAAATATTAATCCTGTCCTGCTTAGAATTTCACCAGACAGGAAGTGAGGAAAAATCAGGGACATCAGAACGCAAAAAATCAATTAAAAAAGTGTTAAAATAGGATTTTAAGACAAAATGTAATCTAATTAAGTCTGTTCAGATCAACAGGACTTTAAAGCTGACCTCCGGGATAGTCTAAATACAAGAGCCTTGTGCATTCTTACTTGAATCTTGGGGCTTCATTTATAAAAATTCTGCCGGGAGTATAGCTGGGCGGGTGCTGTTCACACGGCACTAGCGCCCCCAGATGGATCTGGTGAGAATTGAAATTGCCAATACTGATGAGCGCCATCTAGGGGTGCTAGTGCCGCGTGAATGTTTTATAAATGAAGTCCTTGGTTTGCTTTAATATTCATTTCAGATCTGTGCAGTAATCCAGTGTGAAACTTGGAGCTTCCTGTAACAAAGACCACTCACTGCTGCTCTCATTTCTTGCCCAGTGTGACTGGTCTCATCTCCACCCCCTCCTGTAGTTTTCTGCAGGCAGTCTGTAGTGGATGAGGCCTGCTGGAGCCCTCCCACAGCTCTGCTCTCTGTACATGGTGTTACAAAGTAATAACATAATATATTTTAAATTAAAGTTTTTGTGTTCGGTTCAGCTCTTTAATGGGCAGGCGCAGGCCTACACAGAGAGAAGGCTATAACGAGGGCAAGTCCTCAAACAGGTGAGATTTTCGGACAGCTAAGCGGATCATTGATTGGCTCGCCGCTGCCTGGCGCCAACAGAGGCCAGATTGCATCTGTACAGGAGAATTCTCAGGGCATCGGATGGTGCTCTGCTTACACTATGTGGCAACAATTTGCAGCATATGGATTTAGTTCATTTGATTGATACCCTGAGATAGTGTGAATACTTGAGCCGTGGAATGTCAAGAGCTCAACCACAAGTTATGCTTGATCTGGTGGGTCCGAGCAGCTCTCCACCAAGCTAGAATTGAGATGTCATTTTCACATACTTCTCCTGGGGCAAAGTTTCCCCTGGATGAAAATGAGGATGGGAACAGCAAACCTTTGGGAGTCTTAACAGTGAATTTAGTGGACGTTTGCAGCCAGGAACAGAAGGCTGATCCGTCAGCTGCCCGTCATTAAAAGTGGAGTCTCAAATTCACCGGGTGACGTGGAGAAGGAGAGAGCCATGCACCCCCCC